AAAATCTCCCCCCTCCTTGCCTCGTGGACGTAGGCAACTTGCCGAACCACGTAAATTCTTTGTTCTTGCTGTGATTGTGGTTTGCATATTATTTGTGGTTTAGTTCGAGTTATTGTTCGTGTTGCCCTAGAAAGCTTCCGCCGCGCACAACAATCTTGAGTGAGCCTTGCTGTGAGCATACATCTAACACATGCTAGTCAGCTTGAAAATAGGTAGGTTAATGAGGAGTTGTGTAGGTTGAAGGTTAATGTCATATTGGTTTGTGAGAATGCAGAGTGGAAAGGAAGTGTGTTGGAATATGATGAAAAAGGTGATAATTTATAGTAGAATGGGCTACTGTTTAGAATTGAAGCAGTCACATGGGAGTTAATGGGTGTCATTGAAATTGATGGGTCATCTCTACAAGTTGAAACGTCTACACATAAATTTCGTATGGATCTATATAATGCTATGGGGACCACTTACAGAATTAGAAAAGGATGAACATTGTTCTAAGTTGATTACATTTTACTTTTCATGTATAAAAATAACGGTAATAGTATGAATTGAAAAGACATGTGAAATAGTAGAGAGAGTGGATGGAGGATGTCATTTAAGATATTAAATGTAGAGAATAAATGTATTTAATTAAAAAACTATAAATAAGATAATTATTAAAAATAATTATTATTTTTATTTAAGTATGCATGTATGTTCATGTATATATGTGTTGTACATAAGTATGCATGTGTTTTTGAAGGTACTTTGAAAAAAAAATGTTTTAATATGACAACTCATTTTATAATAGTATTCGATATCAATATAGTTGTAAAGTCACCTGAATCGGAGCCAGCTTAGTCGCAGTTTACCTTTACATACACGACCTAAAAGCTGCAGTTTGTTCTTTAACTGCCTGATAAACCATTTATTTATCTTTTTACATGATATAATAAAGTTGTACTTATATTACTACCACCTAACTTAATTAAGCTTACTTGTACATGGTAAATTCAAATCTTATTTAAATTGATATTGCTGAGCTTAAACTTCGAGTTTCACTTTCCCACATTCTATTGAAAATCTAGCATGTTTCATTCTCTGTTCTTTTTATAAGCACTGAGACAGGGTTCGTTACTGTTATTTACAAAATTGGTGTAGATAGTTCATGAACCACAAACATAACAAATTACAATATAATCACAGGTAATTAGCAAAATTTCTCCTGTCCACGTAACTATGTGGATACATTATCTTCTTAATCTACCGGTATGAACGCAGCAAGTAAGAAAAGAAAACATGTTACGTTAACTTCCATAATACATGTCCTCTTCTACCGGTATGAACGCAGCAAGTAAGAAAAGAAAACATGTTACGTTAACTTCCATAATACATGTCCTCTACATGCAGGCTTTATATTAACATTTAGACAACATAAACCGCTAACAACCTTAAAGTACACAACTATCCAAAATGGGAAAGAGGAAAATACATTATAGTCTGATGAACCACATGTGGCTAAGAAAAAGTTTACAACAAATAACTACCTAAAAAAAACTAAAGCTGAGAATGTGATAGGACAAAAGGTGATCTCTGCTGCTGGACTTGATCCTTAAAGTACTATTGGTCCTGCGAAGAAGAACAGTTCCCAAGTCTGGGGCGAGCAAACCTCAGAGGAGTCAGAAAACTCCCAACAAGCATGTAAAATGAGGAAATGGTGCGCGTGTTAGTGTATGTGGCATATAAAGAAAAGATGAATTCTAAATAAACAATGTTGAAAAAACATGCTAATCATAGAGATCAAGATAATGTCCATCACCAAACACACAAGCGTATTATTATTATTTTAAAATATTATTTGAATTAGAAAAGAATATTTTTATGCATATAAATCGGTTCCCCGTAAATCATCTCGGGAACACGGCTTCAAGTCAAGTATTGGCACTTTGGCCCGGGTATATATAACTCATGATATCAGGAATGCACATGTGCTTGTTTATATACATGTTGTATTCTCCGTCTAATTACCCTTTATAAACCCCATGTTTGTCGGTTTAATTTAAGTGATTGTGCATGAAATATTGTGCACTAACCACAGAGTTACCGTTGAACGACTTTTGTGAGACTATGGAAATAACCGTGACCCAGAACATGTCCAATCAAGATGGGCGCATCGTCTAGTGATGCTACAATAATAATAGCCAAGGAAAATCTCATATCGGGATATCAATATCGAGAGCATAGCCATGCTATGAAAGCACGCTCATAAATCATATTTTTAACAGGAGTCGTCTTCATGCACAGTCTCTCCTATTGGACGACAACTAAGTGATCAAGCAACAATTTTTCATAAAGTCATGCATGTCAACCACATTAAGTTCATAACAAGTACAAATCGATTATTCATGTATTGTATTGTCTATGTCACCAGATCGTGCTTCTGATTTCAAATATTTGATGTAAAGTGGAGATGGAAGTTAAGTGTGCACGTCATCTAGAATAAATTAACTGGCAAATGGGTGTCCACGAAGGAATCACCAATTGTTTCGGAAGGAACCACTAGTACAAAATGAGGCATCCTAGACGGAAAATTCCGTCTAGGATACTCATATTTCCGTCTAAAAAAACTATCACAGACGGAATTCCGTCTAGGATGTGAGCCGAGTATGTTGCCGTCTAGGATGTGGTCGGAATTTCCATCTAGGATTCATCGTAGACGGATAATTCTAGACGGAAATAAAATCCGTTTAGAAAGCTTCCTAGACGGAAATTTAGACCTAAGCACCAGCTACTAGGAAGAGTTAGCTACCACTAAATAAGGACGACTTATTGAAACCTAATATTAACAGTTCCCTCGTACCAGGCTAAAGTACATCAAGAAAAGGAGAACGCAGCAAAGGCTTTGCATGAAAAATGAAGATATTTTTAATATCCAATATTGGTGAAAGTTATGTTTTCGAGTTATCAAAAGTTAAATGTCAACAGATAGTAGTCCAATAAATTAATGTGGTATGAGATGATGATGAGCTCTATAGTTTTCTTACTCTCAAACAGTTTATTGTTACAGGAAATATTTACCTGAAAATTAACACAGTTTCAGATACATCTAGATGGCCAATGCAAGCACAGAACTGCAAAGCAAAATACTAGTTGCCTATTACCTAGCAGATCTTATAGTACAATCAGCAACTTAAATTTCTCAAATTTGGAATCGACACCTGTTAGTATTTGTTTGTAAAAAACAAAATAGTGCCACATTAGAATTTTGAACATTCTTTTAGAGGTTTAAAAGCATTGAATGCTTATTGGGCTTTGAATAATGGATCAAAGTGTAGGCTTCTAAACCCGCGTGCGGGTAGCGCGAATAATGCGCGATTTATATATATAATTATATATTGAATATATTTTATTTTTAATGTTATTTCGAATTTTAAAAAATTATAAAAAGACAAGTGACTGTTGAAAAGTGGCTGTTTGTTCCAAGGGGTGTTTTGAAAAGTTGTGACTGTTGGAAGCACCTTTTCAAAACTATAAATAGTTTATGTTTTCAGATATCTTTCAACAATTCTTTTTCTGAATCTTTTCTATCAAAAACTTCTACAATATTACAAACTTGTTTCACAACGAATTAAGGAAAATTCCAGATTTGCTTACTGGAATTTTCATTTTCTGTTGTATCCTGGGAAGAAAATTTGCATTAACCCGAAGCAACTTTGAATATCAAGTGGGGGCAAATATTTCTTTAAGGAAAGTGTTTCACGCCTCAGAATTTCTGTCTCCTTAATTGTTAAATCTAACAACACCTCCTCAAGATACTACATAGAAGAAGAAATCTCACCTGGAAAACCATCAACGCATGAAATCAGATGTTTCCGATGTTCCTCATCTAAGTTTTGGAAAAAAAAACACAGCCTACATGAACTAGTTCGCCGTTGAAATTTTGCATGGAATAAAGTAAACGTTTCAAGCAGTGTTAAAGACTGGAGCGACGAAAGTTCTACTTACCAAAAAGAATCGCAAATTGAACTTTTGGGTAAGTTTGAGAAGGCAGTTTCAAGCCTATTGTTGAGTATATTGTATAGGATACTTATGTATCGGCTCTGTATCTTATCGGGTCTGTATCTAGTTTAGGCCCATTAGGTATTTGTATATAAACCTTTGTATCGTTCATTATTAAGCAAGAGAGTTATTTTTGCTGTCAAAACAATAAGAATATAAAACAAATTAAGGAGTTAGAAAATTCAGGCCTGATTGGGAGCAGTCGTGATATCACTGCCCTAGAAGATTAAGGACCCGCCTATCGCCCTGGCGCAGTTTGTCCTCTCTCCCCTAGCGGTAAAAACCCCCGGAATCGGCCGGCCTCTGCACTCGGGCGTAAGACACAGAGCTTATGCTCAGACGAAAACAGTTGCCCAGAAAATAGAATATGTAAATATGTAGCCGAAATCTTTTCTTGGAGGTATAAGAGTAGAGAAGAGAAGAGAGTGGGTAGAGTTTTCCTCTTCGTTGGTGTGTTCTGAATGAGCTCCAAGCCTCCTTTTATAGGTGATGAAAGGTGTAACCCCCGCTGAATCCAAGGGACCGTTACGCACGGTTAATGCTTCCGTTACCCGCATGCAGCCGTTACAAAATGTGTAAAACGTGCAAAAATGAAGACTTGAGAAGCAAAAGTGTGCGGCTGCGGCAAGGCGTGCGGGCGAGGCGCGGCGTGGCGTGCGGGCGGGCGTGGCGAGGCGCGGCGCGGCGTGCGTGCGCGCGCGCGCGCGTGTGTGGTAGAACCGCAAAGCCCACAAAACCCAAAACACTATTCAAAGCCCAATAAGGAGAGAACCATTATATGCCCTTTACTATTCATCTCATTTTCCGATGTGGGACTATTCACAAAGGCAAAATTGCCTTTTCATGAATAAGTTTCCAACATTTTTCTCATCATGGTATCAGAGACGAAACAAAAACCCTAGCCTCCCTATAATATTTTTTCGAACCCACCCCCCCACCGAAACCCGATCTCGCCGCCGGTCAACATGTCCGACGATGACAACAAACGCAAGGCTGCCGAGCTGGCAGCGCAGAAAGCCGCCGAGGCTGCGAAGTCAACGACGTTCGACCACGATTCGGATCACGATGATCCGGATGCAGAAGTTATTTATCGAAAGCTTGATCCATCATCCCCTTATTTTCTTGGTTCCAATGATCATTCTGGAAACATGATTTGTACGGTGAAATTGAATGGTGAAAATTATGAACGATGGGCACGTTCCATGCGCTTGTCTCTGAGGGGAAAACGTAAATGGGGATTTGTTGATGGTAGTATTCGAAAACCGGTGAATCCAATTTATTTGGTTGACTGGGATGCAGTCCAATCAACTCTAGTTCAATGGATTATGAATTCCATTGAGGAGAATCAGAAAAATTCGATTCCTTATTTCGAGGAAGCCAAGCCTTTGTGGGATTTGTTGCAGAGGAGATTTACTGTGAGCAATGGGCAGCGTCAACAAGAGTTGAAATATGAGTTGGCTCAATGTAAGCAGACAGCTACTATGTCGGTTGCCTCCTACTTTGGTAAACTGGAGAAACTCTGGGATGAAATTGACAACTATAATCCTGTTCCTGCATGTATTTGTGGTATGAGTGAAGAATTTCAGAAGAAGAAAGACGAGGCCAAATTCCATGATTTTCTGTTTGGCATTAATCAGGAGAGATATGGGAACTTGCGTTCTCAATTATTGGCGCAAGACCCGTTACCAACCTTGGATTGGGCATTTAAAGCGATGAACCAAGAAGAACAATTGCAAAAGAGGAATGCTGTGGTGAAATCTGATGCAGTAGATGTGATGACTTTTGCAGTTCAAGGTACCAACAAAGGTACTCCTGATTCTAAACCGCGATTTCTTCCTAATGTTACATGTACTTACTGTCATAGAGTTGGGCATGAGGAAGCCACATGTTATGGGAAACATGGTTTTCCGGAGTGGTGGGGAAATCGACCCCAGGTTCGAGGAAGGAACAACCCCAACAAGGGGGCTGTCCGTGGACGA